AAAAGTAATTTGGTAAAAGACACTTCAAACGGCCAATGAAGGCTAAAAGAAATACCACAAATAAGTTGATTAACAGTTTATTTAACTTTATAGAGATATTCAGACCGAGATGTAATTTAAATTTGCAATTTTCAGGGCTTTATTCATGACCCTCTAGATTTTGTTCGTCCTATGTCAACAATTATTAACCACGAAAATATAGTGTGGTTGGCCCGTGGTAGCTCTAAGAGCAGCGAGGAAAAAGTTTTTAAACAGGGAAAATACTACGAACCTGCTCTTTTTGAGCGGAATCATGAGCTTTTTGGATTTATTCCACAAGGGCACTAATTCCCTTAAAAAATTCTAGAAATAAAAGGGAAAAAAATTCATGTTACTGTCTCACGCTTGATAGCACTAGTTATGCAAATTAACGATAAGTAACGTAGGTGACACTTTATCAAAACTGTAATTTACAGTAAGCATTGCCACAGTGCTACATAGTTCTACATTGTTACGTTTTTCTGAGCTATTTCTTTACTCTGACTTCATCCTTAATATCAGTGAAACTAATATGCCATCATCGACTTTGGAAAATTAGTGAAAAGCTTTAGATTGTGGTGAATGTGGTGAATGATCCCATGTAACTGAATGATCCTGAGTAACTATAAAGTGCTACGTGACGCCAATTCGGTAATGAGTTCTTAACTTAAAATCTGCCCTGTGGCGTTTAATATGAGGCTTCATTAATCACTTCAGTGAGCCTACGTATAGCCGTAGCCTCCCCCGCAAGGTGAGACTGCAGAAACCATGTAAGTTGTTTATTTATTTATCAATTGAGGTTACTTTCTACGTGAGGTATGACAATAACCCAAGTATTCCAGAAAAAGGATAATCAACCGCCTAAGGAGGTATAAATGCCAGCTTAAGACGACTGATGTGTGGTATAAAACGCAGTAGTGACCCCCTCGTGAGCCCTTAAGACTTTGCGTTCGGTATTACTTTCCTTCACAACTGTATCTGCGTCTAATAACCGGAGGGAGCCGGTGCATTGCCTAATGAGTTCTTTACGACTAGCTCCTAATTTACTGCTTGTGACTGTTTTTGCGTTGATCCAAAATTTAGCTTCAACGAGTGCCGCTGTGGTAGACCGCAAGAAGAGCACCGGTAGCTGCTGGAAAGAAGGTGAGATTCTCCCAGCAAAAGTTGGTGATTATTTCTAGTGAGTATAGGAAACGCTTGAGGAAAACAGAAGCGACATTGGAGCGGCGTGCTGCGTTCTTTGAGGAAGCTAGAGAATCAAGGTTGCAAATTTTATATTGCAGAAGTTTGGTTTGAAACGGACAAACCGTGATTTTCGGTATTGTATCAATCTCGTTTAATTTCTTGTTAAAATCTCCTTTGCCATATGCGAGAGAAAAGAGATAAATCGTATTTCGTAATTTCAATGTATTGGAGTGAGTTTGTTCTTTATACTTTGCAGAACTTTAGAGTCATCCTGTTACGCTAAGCCGTGGGCATTTTGAAGCGCCCGTCGATACCTTGAGGGGGGAGGGGAGGGGAGGATTGGGAGTGGCGGTGTTCTTCAGTAGCGGTATTTTGGCAAAGAAAATCGTAGATTGGGGGATCGAGATGGACTTTCACATCCTGCAATGTTCGTTACTTGTGTTGTCCGTAAAGCTCTGGTAATAGAGAACCAAACTTTATTTCTTCTTTATTGTTTCGTGTTCAATGGGCTTTGTAATCCATTCGTATATCCTTCCCGTTATTTTCCGGACATAATGAGGCTTTTCAAAGCGGAAAATGCCTTGATTTAAATGCCTCGATTTTAAGGCAAATTTGAAACACGCAAGATCAGCATTACGACGAGAAACGTTAGAAATGTCGATTTTTGCGATAAGCTGACAGAATTTGGAGAGTGAGAACCATAGGATCATATCACATATTCAAATGAGAGAGACCAGAGCGTGAAAGTAGTACAGTATGTGAAAGGGAGGGAGAGGAAGTTTATCAAAAGGTGACATTTCGGGATACGGCACAATCGTTACTCTCATTCCGACACTGCCTTAGCCTGAAATTTCAAATTGAACTAGGAGCCCATTATAATGGACTCTTTTTGGGAACTCTTAATGGGAATTTTTTTTACTTAACAAACATTCAATATTTAAATAACCCACACAAGCCATCTTTACCTCAACAGCTTATTATAAGAATTGCGCCGAGCTGTACAACTGCGGCCAAACGATCAGCGGTGTTTACACAATCGACCCTGATGGTGAAGGTGCCTTCAATGTGTATTGTGACCAAACCACAGACGGAGGAGGGTGGACAGTGTTTCAGAGGAGACTGGATGGTTGCATGGATTTTAACCTGGGTTGGGCAGACTACAAAAAAGGCTTCGGTGATTTCCTTAATGGAGAGTTTTGGCTCGGACTAAAGAAGATCCATCGCCTGACGCAAAACGAGACAGAAAACAGGCTTCGAGTAGATCTTGGAGTAACTAAACGGAAAACTGTCTACGCTGAATATTTGTGGTTTGGGATCGGAGACAAGAAAGACCAGTATCGGCTCAAACTCGGAAACAAATCAAGTGAGTCAATCTACTTTCTCTCGGTAATCATTATCTAGAACAGCACGAAGGCGAGGATGAGAAAAGCATCAAATGTATAATGTAGGTGACGGTTGTATTAAAAATTAATATTTACAGTAATGTGTGCGTGCTTCTCCTAAGAACTGATTTCTATCACACTTGCAATTTGTATCCGGGTAAACCTTATCTATGGAAGCCGAGGGCTGAGGGAGATTTCACAGAGTCCTGCGTGGTTTGACAATTCATGATATGATGCGAGAACAGAGTTCAGTAATTGTTTTATTACAGGCTATTTTTTATGAAAATCTACAAGATAGTGTAAAAAATCCTTTTATGAAAAGGAGGCTGGACTCCAAACTCCGTAAAAACATTTATATGGAGCCTGTTAAATTAACCACGACATTTAGCTTGAATAAATTATCTGAAACTTTCACATTTCAAAACAAAGGGGTAACGAACTTAAGTGATAGCAAGTTAAGCTTGAACTTGAATTCCGAAAAGCAACAAAAAAAGATACGTGAAAGAATCCACGTCAGTATCAAGGTTAAGGTTAGAATTCTTTGATGCGATTGGCTAATTTGTAAAAATCACGCGCTACGTGTGAACACAAAATGGAGTACCAAGGGGGAGATGGAGAAAAAAAAAATTTGATTTGAAATTTAAAACGTAAGGGAATTTCACTTCTCTCTGAGTTTGAAAAAGTTTGAGAACGCTACACGCTTAAGGAGCTTGGAAACCAGGCAAACTTTGAGCTGGAGTTGATAAATGCAATATATGCTGCAGATATCGGGTATCCTGTCAACTTCACACGATTTTGTATATGGACTGAATTCTCTCTGCCAATCAGAGTTTCCAATATAAGTCAAATTTAAAATTAAGAGTATCGTCATCATTATCATCATCATCATCATCATTATCATTATACTTTATCACTATAATTGTTATAATTGTTGGTGTTTTATCATTTCTATTAGATTGTGCGACTGTAAGCGATTCTCTCAGTGATCATAACGGCTCCCCGTTTGGTACCCGGAACAACGTTTACAAGCATTGTACCCATAAGATGTTTGGAGGCTGGTGGTACATCAACAATACTAACTGTGCTGTTTCGTCAAATCTCAATGGTGCTCATCATTGTAAAAAGAGAAAAAGGAACATGAACGAGACCTTGGGCGAGCTAAAGATTCACTGGGGTATGTTATCTGGCACTGATGCAAGTCACACCAGTCCACTAACATCGGAAATGAAAATAAAACCGGTGGATTTACCTTTTAAGTGTTAAAACACTTTATTGAACACATGTAATCGTTCACTTGGCATCTAGTCGATTTCTTGATTAATAAAATACGTTATTTCAGTCAAACTTGTTATTGAAGAATTTGCTTTAGTATTTGTTTCTCTAAAGGTAATTTTGGAGGAATTTACAGAAATGACGGATAATATCATTTCTGTGATAATTAAGTTTCAAATCTTAAACAACTTTTCCCACCCTCTAGGCGCCTGTTCAATTTTCACCACTTTTAGCAAGGAGTTAATTTATTTTGCAACTAAATAATACATGATAACAAAAGGTGACGATGTACCACAGGGGAGTGAATTTATAGTTTGTGAGCCAGTAATGAAATTTTAATGTTCCCCTGATGCATTTCAGTTCCGCTTATTTGGAGCGCTGGGCGCTCATTAACTCTCTCTAGGCGTTTATTCGGGGCAGCTGCTTACAAACGATACCATTCTTGCGAAGAGAAAAATCATGATTCAGTAAAAAGTCTAAATAAAAAAGCGTTTAAAAGAAAATAAAAGAAGACCGAAGAAAGCAGAAGACTACACAGATGGTGCGACATGGACGCAAACCGTAATCACCAGCGACTTCAGCCGATGAGAGATGCGATGACACCCGAGAAATCTCCTATCAATCATCAATCAATCAATCAAACAACCAATCAATCGTTTCCTTGGGGGAATTAAAAAAAAATGGTTAAGCTTTAATCATCTCATCCTTCTGAAATCGTACTTACCAACATTTGATTTTATTATCTTTAATATATGATCCAAGAACTGATCTACCCTAGGTGATAAAAACAGATGGAAAGAAGGAAGAACCGAGAAAATTTTTCTCAAATGAGTTTTCTACATTTTTACAGGATCGTCATTACTAAACCTTATCTCAAGCTCGAACTAAATGTCTTTCCTCAAAAACGTGAAAAAAAAGCGAAAATTTTAATTAGTCCCACCTTCTGAAAAGCCTTTTACTCTTGAGTTTACATTTTAACAAGGAGAAATTTTATCTTGCCCGAACTCTTGATCCAACCGCTCTCTGTGTTTAGATTTAGTTAAATCATTTCCAAAGCCGAGTTCCCTACACGTTTTTTTGTGAACCTCTCTGAAAAATATTGATTGGATGATCCGTATAGTTAAGTACAACATAAATGCGTTGAAGATGCGTTGGCGATCGATGTACGAAGGCTTATAACTCATATTTGTGATTACATCAGAAGCCATGCAAAGGTCTTGGCTACCAGATAATACCAAAATGTTTTGAAAAAGTACTACAAACTGACTTAAAAGTTTATTAGAACGTTCACCGATCATCCGCCATTAGTGGGCAATCTTCGCTCTTTGCTGATTTCTGAGACGATTGTTCCAGCTTTGTGCTTTTTTCAGATCCTCTTTTTGTTCTGCCATGAGCTTCTCCAGAAAAGCATACTCCACCTCCATTGTCTGATAGCTCCAATTTAAGTCCTCCAGCCGCTGGACAATATCGACGTACCAGTGGTTCTTTAGAGAGCTGTCACGGCGCGAGTTCAGGGTTGGAAACTCCGGTGGAGGGAGAACCATTTTCTCGTTGTTTACAAATTGATGTGTTGAATTTACGCCATCGGTGGCCATGGTTTCCTATGAAGTAAGAAATTCATAATAAGGCGACTTTTGCGAAGATTCTTGTTTGTCAATTTATGGTTTCTGTCAGTCAACTGACCAGCAAGATATTCAATCAGTCAGTAAGGTAGTCAGTTACTCTGTCAGTTAGTCAATCAGTCAGTCATTCTACATGCATTTCCCATGCACGCGTCATAGCAGTGTTTATTACGCATAAGGATTTTACCTCACTGTGACTGCAGCTTACATCTGTAATGAAAGTGTTCGCAAATAACATATTGAATATCACTTAGTTATCCTGCAAAATTTTGGTAAAAGTTTCATGTGCATCAATATGATCCACTCAAAGAGCGAATTGTCATGGATTCTTGAAGCTTTTGTGAAGCGTTTCGTAATTCATGGCTATAACTTTTAACAAGAACTTGCCAACACGAAAACGTGTATTTATGTTGATTTGTTTCAGCCGACAACACACATAATCAAAAGATAATTGCCTCTAATTTAGACAGAAAGCCACAAAAGAGACTGTGCTAATGAAGGCAATTAATGTACCGTTGTTTAACATCAACAGGTCAAAAAGTTTGGAAACAAATCACAACATAAGTACCGTTTAAGCGGAGGAAAAATCTAGGTCAGTTCTTCTTCATTAGAGAGAGCGTGAACAAGTAGTTGAGTATCTGTACTCAGTTTACGAAGTCTTATTTACAGTGTACATGGGCAGAACGCGTTAGCTGAGGTTCTTAACATTCTCGAGATTTTATATCGCGCCGTTCTTTTGTGTGAATTGTTCTGTGAGTGGGTCAATTCTTTGTTTTAAAAGGGCCTCTTTCAAAATGTTTTCTTTCTTTTCGCAGTTGGCTTCCATTTGTGAGAGTGTACGTATGTCGACCCCTACAGGTCTCAAACGACTCGACCTCCTTGAAGAGCAAAATTTGGAGCCTTGATTTAAATAAGATAAGAAAGGTGGTACATTTTGAGCATAGTCGTTGTTGAGATGCTTTTGCTTTTTGTCACATGCGTTGGGATTCAGGTTTTCCTGTCCCACGCTCGACAAAAAAACAAACAAACAAACAAAACCGAAGAAAATATTTATTAAATTTTGACTTAGTTTTTATGGTTTGACTTCCAACAGGACTTAGGCCTTATAATCGGAGTAACACACAGCTATCGTGTAATCATTCGAAACTTTGTTCTCATATCTGGCTTAAAATGTCTACACTCGATTACAAAAACGTCGACACCTAAATAGCGTGATCCATAAACAATCAGACACATGGGCTTCATGAGAAATACTCGCACAGTTACATAACAATTGAACTGTTCTTTTTGCATTATTCATGAAAATCTTTGTTTATAATAACTCTTTTCTTTACCACGTGCAACCACTTGTGGTTCTTACGCACATAAGTACCCAAAAAGCCTTTGTGTCCCACCGTTCATTGCTAACGGTTTTTGGGAGTCAATTTTTTTACAATCAGATGTATGTGATTTTTTTGAAATTCGATGGACCTCTGGATTTACACTATTTAACCTTGCTTTCTATTCTCTGTGAATCCGCTTACATGTATGATAACGAATCAACAGGGCTACTTACGTAGAAAGGTTTTCTTCGAACTTCTCGGCTTTCCCTTTTCGAAAACAAAGTCTCATTTTGAAATCCACTGATGTTTTGCTGTTCACCTCGCGGACTCACGGAGTCATGCTTCTCCGGCGTCGAGGTCCTGGGCGTACCCTCCACGGGCTTTTTAGTCACCTGGCTCCATACTGACGAAGACAAGGTTTCTTCGGAAGTACTTTTCTCTGGGGTGGTGATAGACGTGTTGCTTGCTTTCTGTTGAGGACTTTTTTGCGAGCCGGGCATCTGTCAATCATACAGAAAACATGCAATTAGCATGTTACTTACTGCGCTACAGATTTAGATTTTGTGATTCTCGCAAAGCTGCTTTAAAAACAAGAAAAATCGAGGAGAACATTTCTCCTTTACTCTTGTAGTTTTACCAGATACTGAATTGATCTATTTCTTTATTTTCAAAACTTCCCATTATTCTTCTGCGAACTCATAATTCTTCTGCAATGATGTCTAAATTCAGTCGGAAACTAGCTTTTCTTGTAAATCCGTGAGCGTTTATTACTGGATCTTCAAACTCTCAACCGTTTGGCTGTAACGTAAGATTTTTGCCGTAACTTACAAATCACTAGAAAAATCATAACTAATGAGCTAACCATTTAACTGTGCAGGCCAATTTTATATTAAAATTTACTTTTTTTTATCTAATATATCTTTAACCATAAAGTTTTGGGGCAAAATCAGTACAGGGTTATCGAGAAATAATTATCAAACCTTTCTCAATTTGCATTTTAATGTACCAGTCAGGGGTATTCCCGCCCAAAACAATATTGAATTTGAACTAATCTGTCGACTGAGATCCTCTTCGGGTATCAATGTTGTCATCGATATTTCTAGTTTAGTTTGGGCTTCTCATTTAAGAACAATTATTTTTTAACATATCCCGTACAGTATAAAAAATTTCCCTTTTATTTTTCACCGACTTCTCTTCCACATGTTTGAGAGCAAATCTTCCAACAATAGAGAAATCTCATTTGCCTTTTTTTTTTTCAAGTAATGCAGGTGCACCTTATTGTCATTCTTTTCAACAAGTATGTTCCTGCAGCGAAGACGTCGAGATGAATTTGTCGAAATTAACATAAATATTCAAAATGAAAAAAATAAAAATAAAACTTGGCGAATCGGGAAGTTTTGGTTGAGTTTTTTGATTTAGTAGCAGTTTGATTTGGTACATGCTTTGTTTTTGCTTTTCGCAACCAAAAAATTATGAACAAATATTCCTTAGCATAAACAATTTGGACGTTTCTGGGATAATGGATTGAGTAAACATAACAAAAAAACTACCTCCAACCAAAAATTTTGTACAAACTGGCTGATGCATTACCAGTTCTGTTGTAAATCAGATCGAAGATTTTTATTCAAATTTTCCTCAAGCCTTTTGGTTAAGGAAAATATACTAGCTTTCTTTTCTCTGTTTTTTTTTAGCCCAAGCGAAATGTCACGGGAAAATCAAAATAGCTACGGTTTAAATTATCATGTTCCCTACCTTACTTGGATTTGTTTCTCGGCTCCTGTTCGTAGAAAGATGAATCTACAAGGCAACAAAAACTAAAAAATCAAATAAACTTCGTTATATCTTCAAAAACTTAGCACAAATAGGGATCTGTTCCAAGAAGATGCTGCGCGTTTAAGTGACTGTTATGAACAACTACTGTTATATTCAACCTACCGTCACTTCTGAGACATATTTAACCTGTTCTTCAGGAACAGATTTTAGCGGCAATCCCACTGATCTAACTCGAGGAGTTTTAGATTTTGGTGTGACATACTTTGAGCGGTACATGTTCAGTTAGGGAAAAATTGATCGAGGTTGTATTTAGATTTTGTCGGCGCACTCTATCTTACAGCTGTTTCCGCGTGGTTTTGTGGACGTAAATTAATTCATAGTATGAATTGTTAATCAACAAAATACCCGCTGAAACAGAATTTTTAGGACTCAACCTCCATTAGGTATATCATGATACCCGCGAGAATCGACAAAATTTATAGTTTCGAATTCAAGGGCCTTGGATATTTCAAACTTGCAAAATCAAGTGTATGTTATCATGACAAGTATATTATTTTTCTGCTAAGATAGGGATTTATTCTAATCTTTGAGTTTCGCTTTCTATTTTGCAGGGCAGCAGGATTTCGATGTCCATTGACAAATATACGTGCATATTTTCGCACCAAAAGGAGGCTAGTGCTTATTTCTGAAAGATGCGAAAGTTAGAAATACAAGAAAAATCGTGATTGATATGCAAGGCAATGAGGAAAGCAAAGGATGCAATCAGGCCTTTATTCAGCAATTTTATTAATTTTGTTTAAATCTTTCTGGTCTTTTAAGAGGCCAAGGATGTCTTTTTCCCCTCACTGCTTTTATGACAAGTTTAAAATGTGATTTTTGGTCAGTATTTTGGTGTATTTCATTTTGTGTCATCACTTCAGTCGTTGAGGTCTTGGAAAAGCAATACGGAAATATAACAAAAAAAACGGGATTGGACGTTGCTATGTACTTCTATTCAGATTCTTGGTAACCTAATGATCAAGCAAATGTGGTATGGTTGACATTCGGTCATGAAAGCTTGCACTTGGCAACAATTTGCAAAATAATAGCAATGACGATAATAATAATAATAATAATAATAATTATAATAATAATAATTATTATAAAATTAAAAAAAGAAAGGTCTAATTGGAAGGTCATCTCTTTTACTTTTTAGAAAACAATTTAAGAAAATGGCCTCGATAAGTTGAAACGATGCCACAAGTTACTTGTCACAAGAGTGCATAAGAAAAAACCGTTCGCCAATAAACGGGCTTTTAATTACTTCAAGTAGTTTAAAATTTGGAAAATATCTCGTCATTTTGTGATGCACGCCATATTGTTTCTTTTATCTTACACATCTCACATAACTGATAATAATTGCGGCTTAAAAATTGTTTGCAGTGTATTTTCAGATTGTGAGACCTTTCCTACAAATATTGTTGTGAAGTATTCTGCTCGTTACAAACAAGGAACGATCGCTGAACAAAGCTAAACTAATTGTTTTTCTTTTTGCACCATCGATGGTCCGGTTTCCGAAAAACTAGTGCCCTCAATTTTTAAAGAGCATATGATATGTTTTAACAAAGGTTTGTTGTAATAACTATATATTATGGCTAACGAACCTCATTTTCAAATTGTTCATCGCTAGTAGCTGTGACGTCGATATTCACAGCACCACTGGCCTTAGAAGTGTTGTCTTCAAATTCAGTTTGTTGAACCATAGTTATGACTGATCTGGAACTCTGGTTGAAAGGGAAGATGCCTTTTCTTAGCTCTCAAATAAAGGTCAGGAACAATAATAATTTGAACTTTTGAGACAGATTTTAATGTTATTTTGCAAAACATTACCGACGCCAACGGACTACAGCGTGAAATCCAATCATATTGTGCAAGCAGACAATAGCTTTGCATGTTCAGTCGTTACCAATTGTTTGGATATCCCTTGAGAGGCTAAGCTGCTTTTGTTTTCCTCAATCGAATTTTAACGCCCAAGCTGTCGAAAGGTGAAGACGTTGAAGCTCTGAATTGCCAAACAAAAGATAACAAACGATGATGTCAACGTAGTATTACGAAAGGACATTTTTCAACGTTTTTTCACAATTCAAAGCATTATTTGAGTCATGTTTGTCGTGTTGTTGGAATTTAATGACTCGTATTTTGCCATCTCGTCCAGAAAAGGCCAACTCTTTTGCGAACTGACAGAGTTCGGATTTTCACGTTTATGTAATTTGGGTGTTTTTTTTTTTCGCTCAAGGAGTATCACGATTGCATATTGAAGCCCGTGTCTACCCTACCCAGTATTACCTAAGGAACAGGAAGTAGGCTGCTAGGGAGGTGTTGCTGACCATTTATGTCTCTGTGATAAGCTGGATCCTACATGCATTTTGATTGATCCTTGCCACAGGAAGAAATTATTTCTGTAACCTCGTAATAATATTTTTTTGGTTGCCTATTTTCGCTTGCAAGCGAATAAATTTATACTCTCATCATCTTGCTGCAATATCAGCAAGTAAATGATATTTCGGATGAAACCGTTTTTATCGAGCAGCTGAACACTCAGCAGCTTAGTAATCAGTTAGTTATAAGCTTATATTTCACAATTATTTATTCTCCGATCGTTTCAAACCATATATTTTTTAATCTCCAATTTTTATAGTTTCTTAAAACTAAGTAAAGCTGCAAACATTAGAAATTTTATCTTGAGGTCATAAAATTTGTAATAGTTGCAGCTTAACCATGTTGGGAGTTCAAATTGCTATTAGCCAGTTTCAAATTTTTCTTTTGTTCTTTCCTGTTTCTTACAGCGAAAACTGCTGTTCTTTAAATGGAGAATTCTTACCATAGTTAGGCCTAACCATGGTAAGAAATCTCCATTTTACTACCTCAAGATAAAATAAGAATCTGAAACAAAAGGAATGGCAAAAATACAGATAAAATGCATCATTTTTCGCGTGACGCGACAGCGTACTTACAGTTTAGACAATCAGAACCATTGCTTGGAAACGTGATAAAGCGATTCATTGTTTTAGGACGACGAAAATACAATTAAGGGGCTTTAAAAAAAAACTATAAAAACCATTAGTTAAAAACTACATAGTTATAAATATTTTATAGCGAAAACTGCTGTACTTTAAATGGAGAATTCTTACCATGGTTACGCGTGACCATGGTAAGAATTCTCCATTTTGTTACCTCAAGATAAAATAAGAATCTGAGACAAAAGGAATGACAAAATACGGATAAAATGCATCATTCATTGGTAGGAAACGTGATAAAGTGATACATTTTTTTACGGCGTAAACCAGCTGCTGTAACACCAACCATCTCGGGCTTTACTAAACTATTTCTCGTCACGTTAAACCATTTGACTTTACGGTGAGTACATTGATGCGATACTATACCATTGCGGTATTATTATTAACCATTTGCCGATAACTTAAGCCATTTCACACTACTCTTAACCGTTTCTGCGAAGTCATTGAACCAAAGTACGGTTAGCTGAACCGTTTGTCATTCGACACAGAACCATTTCAGTTAACACTTGACCAATCGTGTTTTTATTGAATCAGTTCAACAAGGGTGGCTGCACAGTTTCTGAATTGTATAAACCATTTTTGTTTGAATATTTAATTTCACCAAAGGCGACTTGTCCATTTGTATTTTAAATAAATCTCTTGAGGTAAGATAAACCGTGCACCAAAAGACAATAGACCATTTATTATGCCGGTATTTTTGGCGGTGACGGCCGCCCCTACTAGAAGTAAGGATGTTTCAACCTTTTTGTTTTAACCATATCATAACTGATTTATCGTTCATATATGTATATAAAATAACTGCAAAGCAAGATTAACGAACTTTCGAGCAATCGAGCACATGTTAACGAGAATATGAGCATCCGAGCAGTTGCAAAAATTTTGCGAGTACGAGCAAGCGAGCAAGCGAGCAAGCGAGCATTTGTGTAATTTTTGCGAGCAATTCGAGCAAAGGCCAAATTTTGCGAGCACATTTAAATTGAATGGGACCATTCGATACCCCTAACAGTATTCCCACGTACAAAATTTACCAGCCTTTCTTTTTGAATTTAGTAAGAAGATCAAGCGGTCTTGTTTCTTCTTTTAAGTAGCAAAAACAGCTGTGTGAATATTTAAAAAAAAACTTGAAATTCAAGTTCTTCATCTTTTTATTGTTATTTAAAGGAGAATCTTGACCGGAAGCAAGTGGTTTACTCATTACTGAAATTTTTAAAAGTGTTTCACAGAGGGTGACTCTTACGGCTAACAGTAAAACATCTGGCCATTTTACGGCAAACGGTCAACCCAAAAGGACACAAAATAACAAACTTTAGAAAGAAAAAAAGCACGGTTTGCTTTTTTAACGACTGACGGTTAAGATTTGTCAATTTTTACGCCTAATTGCTAATTTTTTTCTTTGGCCGTTTTACGGCCAATAGTTACGTTAACTTCATCGAGACCCGCTGTCGAGGTGAGCCTCTATTTATGCGGATTTTATATGTAGACACTTCATGCATACCCAATGAATGTATAGAAGTGATCACTAGCACTACAGAATAATTCAAAACTCCATTGTTATTTTTCAGAATTACTTCCTTTTCTTTAAAGAATAGAAAAGCAACGAGATAAAGGAAAAGATTTTAAGAGTAAACGTCAATAAAATCACAGATTATCGAAAAAGTCGCGGACATGGTCAAAAATCGATTTGGTTCATTTTTTGCCTGTGGGTAGCCTTATCTAGTAAACAAACGGACATAGGGTTAGATTTTTGAAATATGCATTTTAACGGAATAATTTGTTTTAACATTTCCGAGGGTAAATAGCTCAAATTTCACCAAGCGCGATCCTGAAATTATGCACTTTTCGGGTACTTGTCATGCTAACAGAAATGTAACGGAAGGACTTTTCTAGTTATAGAGATATTGAGTTCGACTTGCATTATCGAGGCAAAGTGATAGTTTTTGTCTCATTTCATTCTTGGAGGAGCTGCGTCCCTATTAAGAAACGACATCTTCGGCCTTTTGAAATTAAGGCAAAGGTGGCTTAGAATAGCTTGGCAAAAATACATGTGGTAGTGTCTCAAAGCCTTGAGAGATAGTTCTTTACGATTTGGGTTTTATTTCTTTGGGACCTTTGACTATCAAAAGATGACCACCAGCCGAATTTCGGTTAAATTACTATGACGCCATAATAAGATGCATAATAACAAAATTAAACGCGTTGGACACAAATAACTGTTTTGGTCAGTTATATCTTCACTGGCCGTGAAAATGACTAGAAACATATTAAAATGTCTATAACTACCCTTAATTT